CCAATCGAGAATTTGTGGAAAGAACTGAAAACTGCTGTTCACAAACGCTCTCCATCCAACCTCACTGAGCTCGAGCTGTTTTGCAAGGAGGCATGGGCAAAAATTTCAGTCTCTCGATGTGCAAAACTGATAGAGACATACCCCAAGTGACTTACAGCTGTAATCGCAGCAAAAGGTGGCGCTACAAAGTATTAACTTAAGGGGGCTGAATAATTTTGCACGCCCAATTTTTCAGTTTTTTATTTGTTAAAAAAGTTTGAAATATCCAATAAATTTCATTCCACTTCATGATTGTGTCCCACTTGTTGTTGATTCTTCACAAAAAATTACAGTTTTATATCTTTATGTTTGAAGCCTGAAATGTGGCAAAAGGTCGCAAAGTTCAAGGGGGCCGAATACTTTCGCAAGGCACTGTATCAGCAGCTCCTGGGGCAGGTCAAATTTCCTCAGCTGGCACAGGAAGTCCATTCCTCTCCTGTGCCTTCTGGATGATGGTCCTGATGTTGGACGTCCACTTCAGGTCCTGGGAGATAGTGGAGCCCAGGAACTTGTAGGACGTTTCTGCTTATACAGTGCTGCCAAATATCTATCTAGTGATAGTGATGGTATCACTATGACAACTGTTAAATGGGTAATTGACGGGATATGCAAACCATTAACCCATATTTTTAACATGTCGTTTCGACTTGGGCAGTTCCCCAACAATATGAAAATAGCAAAGGTTATTCCTCTGTATAAATCTGGTGATAAGCACAACTTCACAAATCATAGACCGGTTTCTCTGTTGTCACAATTTTCAAAAATTCTGGAAAAACTCTTTAATAACAGATTAGATACATTTATTGACAAACATAAAATCCTCTCTGATTGCCAATATGGTTTTAGGTCGAACCGATCGAATTCTTTGGCCATTACCGACCTGATGGAGGACATTACAAGTGCTATGGATGAGAAGAAATGGATGCAGGGTTAGGGTTAGGTTTGGGGTTAGGGTTCACAGTTTCAGTGTCACATACCATTTTAACTTTTTCTGATTTGAAATTGTAAATATCACCCTTATTTTGCTCTCTAATGGCAAAGACAGAGAAAATCACAATGAGACTGTTCACTGGATGATCCTCCTCCACTTCCAAAGACAACTTTCAGGTTTTTTTTAAACAGTATGCAAGGAAGAAACACTGCTCTTTATTTGTTGGTATGACCATGTTTTTGCTGGTGTTCAGTACCTCTCCGGGGGAGAACGCAGGGAAGCTGTCATTCTGGACAGACGGCGTCCACTGAGCTGAGATGCTCACTTTCACATTGCTGAAGGTCTTCCTGGAGGCATGCAGCAACACATAGCTAGACACAAAGAAAAGAGTTTTCTCAGAAAATAAAAGCAAAAGTTATAAAATAGAAATGCATTTGGAAGCATGTGTGCAGAAACAAAAGTTCATGCTTCAAGAAAGACATGCAACTGCTTACTTACCTAACAGTCATTTAAATGGGAAATTGAGAAAACCAAGAAGACTCAACTCTTCTGCTGAGTTGCAATATCAGTATCATGTGCACTAACTGCTGTAGAGGGTACTTTGCATTGCTCCTGATAAGTGACATGGTCACAAGGCCACAGATGTGTTATACAACTGCTGTAATTAAAAATTAACTTACTGAGCAGGGCAGAAATAAAAAAAAACAAAACAAAAAAAAAAACATACAGCATGATGGCCATAAATATGACCCATCATGCTTTAATTCATCGCACATTTTAAAATTATGTATATTTCTTAAATACTTAAAAAAAAAAACAGAAAAACCATACAATGCACAGTTTTTTTTTTTTTTACATTTTCTGAAAGCTCTTTACAATCACAAAGTAGTACATTCCATTTTGCTTACTTTTGACTATTTTTCAATCTGTGTAGCAACTCCAACAACTAGAAATCTATGTACTATCTTGACTACTATCAGAACTGAGTTAATCTAACCTCACTTGAACAGCACACATCCGTCCAGCGTGTTTCCATCCAAGCTATATTGATATTTCCATTCACTTTAAGCTCTCTTATGCAACTCAACTATTTTGTCAGACTCAGAAAGCTATGAATGACTAATCCAGACATTTCTGTTTCAAAACTGCTGTACAGACTTGTAGGACATCTCATCTTTCTTGTTGTTTGACAGATCTAAAAAATAAAAAAAAAAAAAAAAAAAAAAGTAACACTGACAGGTGACAAACCCCAGGAGTACATTTACAATGCTAAACAGAACAAAAGGTTGGGTGGGTCTAGTTTACCTAAAGAAGGTGAGGAGGAAGACAACCAGATGGTGATGGGTGTACTGTGACAGGCAACCACAACACGAGGGAGGCATCACAGGGGCAGCTGGAAGGAGGAAGTGGATGAGGAAGAAGGTGGTGTTGGTGGAGGCCTTGGAACAGCAACTGGACAGGGAGAGGGTTCAGGTACAGTCTCCAACTATGCCAGCTTGAACAAACACACTAGAAGAACAACACAGAGGCCTGGAAAGAAGGAATTGGAAACCAATGTTAAAATACTAAAACATACTTCAGTTTATTAATGATTATAGGATCACAGCCTACACAGAAGTTTAATGGCATAAATATATTATTAGTCCTTAGTTGAATAAGCGAGAACACAAAATTATATTGTTTATATATAAACAATATTATTTTCCCTCCCTGGAACCGACACCTTAACGTGGTGGAGGGGTTTGAGTGCCTGAATGATCCCAGGAGCTATGTTGTTGGGGGCTATATGTCCCTGGTAGGGTCTCTCATGGCAAACAGGTCCTGGGTGACAGACCAGACAAATGGCGGTTCCTAGGCCACGTATCACAAAAAAAAAAAAAAAAAAAAAATCAAAATACGTTTACCCCACCCTTTATGGGGTCACCGGGGCCCCACCCGGGAGCCAGCCCTGGGGGAGGGGCTCGCGTGTGAGTGCCTGGTGGCCAGGCACTCACACACTTAGCCTGAAACCACAACGTGGAGCCACTCTTCAGGGGGCCCACCACCTGCTGGAGAGGCCGTAGGGGGCCGGTGCATTCTACTGGGGGGCTTTAATGCCCACGTGGGCAACGACAGTGAGGGGTGTGATTGGGAGGAACGGCCTCCCCGATCTGAACCCGAGTGGTGAGTTGTTATTGGACTTCTGTGCTAGTCATGGTTTATCCATAATGAACACCATGTTCAAACATAGGGGTGTCCATCAGTGCACATGGCACCAGAATACCCGGAGTTCGGAGATCGATGATCTCAGCCTCCCTGGGAAAGTCTATGCCTGGGTACTGGAGAGGAGAATCTGGCCAACAATCGAACCTTGGATTCAGGAGGAACAATGCGGTTTTTGCCCTGGCCATGGAACACTGTACCAGCTCTATACCCTCACTAGGGTGTTGGAGGGTTCATGGGAGTTTGCCCAACCAGTCTACATGTGTTTTGTGGATTTGGAGAAGGCATTCAACCGTGCCCCTCATGGCATCCTGTGGGAGGTACTTCAGGACTATGGGGTGTGGGGCTTGTTGTTATGGGCTGTCCATTCCCTGTATGACCAGAGTAGGAGCTTGGTTTGCATTGCCGGCAGTAAGTCAGACCTGTTACCAGTGCATGTTGGACTCCGCCAAGGCTGCCTTTTGTCACCGAGTCTGTTCATTATCTTTATGGACAGAATTTCTAGGTGCAGCCAGGGAACAGAGGGTGCCTGTTTTGGTGACCACAGAATTTCGTCTCTGCTCTTTGCGGATAATGTGGTTCTGTTGGCTTCACCAGTTAAAGACCTACAGCATACACTGGAGGGGTTTGCAGCCGAGTGTGAAGCGGCAGGGATGAGAATTAGTACCTCCAAATCCGAGGCCATGCTTCTCAGTCGGAAAAAGGTGGATTGCTCTCTCCAGGTTGGGGGCGAGTTGCTCCCTTAAGTGGAGGAGTTTAAATATCTTGGGGTCTTGTTGGGGGGAAAAACGGAGCGGCAGGTTGACAGACGGATCGGTGCGGTGCCCGCAGTATTGTGGTCTCTGTACTGGTCCGTTGTGGTGAAGAAGCTGAGTCATAAGATGAAGCTCTCAATTTACCGGTCGATCTATATTCCTACCCTCACCTATGGCCATGAACTTTGGATCATGACCGAAAGAATGAGATCACAGATACAAGAGGCAGAAATGAGTTTCCTCCGGAGAGTGGCTGGGCGCACCCTTAGGGATAGGGTGCGGAGCTCAGTCACCCGTGAGGAGCTCTGAGTAGGGCCGCTGTTCCTCCATGTTGAGCGGAACCAGTTGAGGTGTGTTTAGGATGCCCCCTGGACATTGGGGAGGTATTCCGGGCATGTCCCTACGGGAGAAGGCCTCGGGGCAGACCCAGGACACGTTGAAGAGACTGGCCTGGGAATAGCTTGGGGTTCCTCCTGCGGAGCTAGAGGCACTACTTTCTCAATGAATGCATCCACCCCCTTAGGTGTCAAAGACAGCCAGTATTATGTGCATCTAATATGAATGCTGAAGTGTATTCTGCTGGCTACAGGTATCAATGGGGCCAGTGTTACACAAATTGCCTCTGAAACCATGCCACCTCCCCCACTATCCTGTTCAGCTCTGACTATGTTGTTTACACAGGCAACAGTTAGAAACTCAAGATGCATGGATCCAAGTTTTTTCAGTGACCACAACTCAGAATATCACAGGATGACAAGCACCAATCTGATATTCACTGTATTGACTCACTGGACTGTTTTGGAATCAGTGCTTACTATATTAATTAGCCTACTTAGTTCATATTTCTAAAGGTAGCAAGTGCAGACAATAATCATGTTTTTTTTATAACAATATGCCAGAATTTTTTAATATAAATATTAGAGAGACACTGTTAAATTAAAGTGCAAACAATTCCAGTGTACTAAAAGTTCTGCCGAATGAGTAATGCCACTATCACTGCAACTCAGATGTTTGAGAAACATGGCATCATTTTGGGAGCCAGAAACCATAACACTGAGAACCATTCATTTAAAACACGTATAACTTCCTTGGTAAATATTTGAAAAAATTATGAAAAAGTTTTAAATGCCTGCTCCACTCAGAAAGTTAAACAACACATAACATTATGTAAACTGTCTGTTGGTTGTTGCTAAATTAAATGTAATTTAAAAAGAACCCTTAGGGTGTGATTAACAGGATAACTTCTAAACACAACATTTTTTGTTATTGCCAAAATACTTTTTCATACAGAAAGAATTTCTGCATTTTCACACTACAGACATGCAGCCACACATCGACCTGCCATCCCGAAAAACACAACCTCTTATCAGTTCAAACAAAGGCGGACAGTTACCTTTAACTGTGTTTGTTAGGCAAATTCCATGAAAGGCAAACAAGATCGTTAGCATTTGCTTAGTGTCTGGTGGCAATTTTCAAACCTACAAAGAACTGACAAGTCAGACTATAATACTGTGCGCTGTTTGTAACACACCACACCGAAAACGGAAATATAAGCAGGACGTCCCGTTCAAAGGACGCCATCAATTGCCTACAGATAAGAGAACAGACGAGCCCTCAGGTTATCACTCGTGTTGAGTTTGAGATTTTGTGTTTAAAGAAAAAAAAATGTTAGCATGTACATATGAACATCGTGTTTTATTTACAAGGCGCAGTGCTAGCAGAGGTAATCAGTCAACTGAGTTCATTTACGCCAGAATTTAGTTTCTCATAGCGGTAGCATTTTCCACTTTTCTGCACACATTTTCCAAAGGGAGTGAAAATGCGGATGAGACATCGTTACATGGTGACCGGGCTTTTACACAGGGTCTGCTACACTAAAAGTAAAAGCAAACGTCTACAAACAAAGAGCTTATGTTACATTTTCGAACTACTAAAAATAACAAAGAAATGAAGCCGTGTTCTTACCCTCCATCTCCGGTTACTGTTTACCAGCTTCTGCCCAGGGCGACAACAAGCTGTTTCCGTGTCAGAGACGTCACTAGCCGGAGCACTGATACCATCAGCAGGACAGGAGTGGGAGTACAGGTATAAGAGCACAGCTGGGACTGCCAGGAGAAGTCAGCTATTGTGGGTTAAAGCCAAGTTATACACCACCCAAAGTACTTTTATTTAACACTCCAGTTTAGTGCCTGACAGTGCAACATGGATTGAAGTTTCCACTACATTGTAGCCTCTATATATTCAAGGTTCAGGGATTTAAAAAAAAAAAGGCTAATTTGTCACATACACAAGAAACGTGTAGTGAAGTGATAGTATGGAAAAAAAGGATTTGGGAGAAACAAAAAAATAAGGATAAAGACTGAGGACAAAAGTTAATATATGTAAAAATATAAACAGTATGCATGTTGCAAATGCAAATTAAACAATATAAAATTTTCAGAAGTTTCAGTCATTACTTCATTCTAAATAGCTTGTCCATAATGTCATTTTAGACAGAAACAGCCAGCAAACAGCAGACATGGACATATATAAAGAGACAGAGAGAGAGAGGTGGACAGAGAGAGGGAGGAAGTTATGTTCAGGGTACAGAGAGAGAGAAAGTGAATGAAAGCTGATGACTGGAGAAAAGAGAGGAGTGAACAGTGAGACTCCAGAAGAGAAGCATGAATGTCCTTGAAGAGCTGAACATTTTGATACCTGAAATAGCTGAAAGTATGAAGAAGTAGAATTTTCCCATTCATTTGAATGAGGCAAACTTTCAAAATAAAGCTAAATATTTCAAAAGTACAAAGTTTAGAAAAATTATGAATAGAAGCATGAATGTCCTTGAGGAGCTGAACATGTTCATACCTGAAAGTATGCTGAAGTAGAATTTTCCCATTCATCAGAATGGGGCAAGATTTTCAAAATAAAGCTAAATATTGTGTCCACCAGTGTCCTAGTGGGTCATGGAAACTGCAGAGCAGTCCCACATTTTGACTTCAGTTTACCAGCCACCGGCTCCAGATTCAGTGCCGCTGTTAAAGGGCACAGAGTCTCCATCACCAACATACAGTCCTCAGACCACAGCTATGATTATGAATTGCATTCTGTCTGCTCCACACGTGTCACCATCTACACCTGCAAGTAGGGCCTGGGGAGAGGCTGAGTGGCTTATTAAGTACATTGCATCTAATGACTATTATTTGAGTGTAGAAACTGCTGTGGAACTTGACCTGGGTCAGTATCAGTCAGGTACACACCAGTAATGATTTCCCTATCTTTTGAAAAAACACTCAAAGTCTCTTCAGTCTGAAGCAAGGTATTGGATTTGTTGAAAAAGGGCACAAATGTTTCTGGTTCATGAAGCAGTACAGTTTACAGAGCTCCTGAATTTTTTATACTCTTTACAAGTGCCTCCTGGTCTAGACACGGTCTATCCACCTTATCTCTCTTTGACCCCCAGCGCAATAGACACCATTTGAACCTAGAGTGGTCAGACATGGTCACAGCTTCAGAAGCCATAAAAATAAAAGAAATGTTTAATAAACATGCAAGTGTCATAACAGCTGCAGGTCACATGATGATTGACACTAATAATGAGCAAACACTACCTTCTTGACATGTCTCTAATTAATGATACCACCAGACACCTCCAAACATCATAAACATTTTAAAAACACCGTTAAGGCAATAAAACATGCAACACATCAGCCTGTCTTACAAATATGTCTAGCCCAACTAAAGGTGACAAGCAGACACATTAATCTGTCACAGGGTGATATCTAGAATCATTAATCTGACACCATCATAACAAGCAGGCGTCTATATCTGTGTACTGTCAGTTGTTAGACAAACAAGTTAATAATTCTGAGAATGACATTAAACTTCTTAAAAACATTAAAGGATCTTTCTGCCTCTCACTCTCTGAGTTGCAACAGGTATCCCAGTGTCCGTCCATTTATACCCAACTCACCTAGCAAAGAGACAGCTGACTTGGCTACAAATCCCCTATAACCAATGTCCACTGAGCTGACTTTAACTTTACAGCCATGCTCCTCTGCATCCATAGCTAATTCTGTGTATTTAAGTTTTTTCTTTTCATAAGCTGTTTCTGCAGCATCCTCTCAAGGAACTGTAAGCTTGACAAAATAGACAGTCACCTGTGCTTCTGACCACAACACAAGATCTGGTATTAGGGTAGTGCTGACCATCTCCTTAGAACCTATGAGCTGATTCCCTAAATCTAATTTCATTTGCCAATCTCCTCCAAGCCTTTGCATGAAGGCCACGATATGCTAACCCCTGTACATAGGAATAAAGCTTAACCTCTCACACTGCTTGAGGTTCTCTGATGGACATATTCACTCAGTAATTAACTACCATGAACCTGCGAATAGAGTTCCCTGCAGACCTCCCTCTTTCATGTTATTAATTCAGTTTAAGACCCCAAAACCTCCCAAATAACAACAACCTGCAGGTATTGTGGCAGCTACCTCCTTAAACCCTCAGATGTTACTGTACTGAGAAATGTTTATAAACCAGTACACTCTGGCTCTTTGAGGAAGTGTTAAATTTAGTCTGAAATAACCAATGAAAGCTGTGTCACTGGACACTTAAGACCATATTTGTTTTGTGCAGTATTTAGTTGACATGTTAAGGATAGGATATTTATGGAATTTTATATAGAAGCTTAAAAGAGTGTTACAGTATATGTAGTGCTTAATCCACTTAATATAAAAATCTTGACTAATACACAATGCTGACTCAAAATTTCTTTAGTCTGAACTAAATCAGTTTATCTCAGTGATTTGCGCAAATCAGAGAACACCCAGACTGACGGGTTTGATGGTCTTGTAATTATACAAAAATCCTGTGTTAAAGTACAAAACAGTAGTTCAACAAAGAAATGAGAAATGCCTACAGGTTTAGAATGACTTTATTTATAAGTTAGTAGAAATCACAAATTAACTTCATAGGCAATGGAAGAAATCAGGGTCCGTAACTATAGTGAAATCCCATCTTAACATGCAAATATTCACATTCACACTGCAGTTTGTCAGGAAAAACAACAGGAGGTGGCTGCCGGTATCTCTCTCTCTCTGTGTGTGTGTGTGTGTGTGTGTGTGTGAGTGAGTGAGTGAGTGAGTGAGAGAGAGAGAGAGAGTGTGTGTGTGCGTGTGTGTGTAATTTGCAGGCCTAATTTACAATGGGCCACTAAGAGACCCAGATGTAATAGAATAGTATGTAGTTCATATATAGATAGTATGATTTGTAATAGTTATGTAAGGGTGAGCTAAGTGTTTATGTAAGCTTGATCTGTTTCTCGTCTATTCTCTTGCTCAAGCTTGTGTCCTCCTCGTTTAATTTAGGGGTAAACATCCAGAGCGAATTCCTCCTTAAATGGGGAATGGACAAAACTTCAGCCTTATGTGAATGATTCATGTGCTCTGTTCATGTTTAGAAAAAGGAAATGTGCGCTAGGTCAATGCGACCTAGAAGTTCATGTACTGGACATCTCAGACAATGCTTGGAAGAAGGGGCGTAGAGCTGGCATGGGACTGTGACTCTGGCTCAAGCCATAGAAGGCTGTGTAACTGCGAGAAGATAAAAGTTAGGATAGCTGTGGGTTAGAGAGAGAAGGAGTGATGGTGCTGCAGTCGTGAGTGTGCATTTGGACCCGGGCAGGGGGACTCTGGACTCTGACTGTACCTTGTGACCAACAAGGACTGACTCTGTGACAATCTCCTTATTTAATACTTTATCTATTCCATTGCAGGAGGAGTGATTCTGTTCTCTGTTCCCAACTACCAGATTGCTTACCCAACTATTATCTTTTCAAAATAATTGTAATATTAAATGATTATTTAAATTGCGATGATTTGTCTGAATTAATTTAGTCTGTATCAGATATTAACAACTACAAATTTTACCTTGGCTACTACAGTAATCAAACACTGAGAACTGTGTGCCTATATGTGTGGCCTTGACCATTACCACTTAAAAGTGTAAACCCACTAAAATCATAGGAATGTCAATAAAATCAAAACTTAACTCAATAACCACAGAGAGTATTAAAACCTTTCAGGAATTTTATATAGAAGCTTAAAAGAGTGTTACAGTATATGTAGTGCTTAATCCACTTAATATAAAAATCTTGACTAATACACAATGCTGACTCAAAATTTCTTTAGTCTGAACTAAATCAGTTTATCTCAGTGATTTGCGCAAATCAGAGAACACCCAGACTGACGGGTTTGATGGTCTTGTAATTATACAAAAATCCTGTGTTAAAGTACAAAACAGTAGTTCAACAAAGAAATGAGAAATGCCTACAGGTTTAGAATGACTTTATTTATAAGTTAGTAGAAATCACAAATTAACTTCATAGGCAATGGAAGAAATCAGGGTCCGTAACTATAGTGAAATCCCATCTTAACATGCAAATATTCACATTCACACTGCAGTTTGTCAGGAAAAACAACAGGAGGTGGCTGCCGGTATCTCTCTCTCTCTGTGTGTGTGTGTGTGTGTGTGTGTGTGTGAGTGAGTGAGTGAGAGAGAGAGAGAGAGAGAGAGTGTGTGTGTGCGTGTGTGTGTAATTTGCAGGCCTAATTTACAATGGGCCACTAAGAGACCCAGAATGAATATTGGCGGGGCTTTCAATCCACTTAGGAGACAAACGGAAAAAGCCAGAGAGAGAGAAATGCTACTACAGCAGCCATATAATGTGAACATGAAAATCAGATAGTGTTTCTCTGAGCAGTTAAAATGAATATTACATTTATTTTTAATGAGAAAATCAATAGTGTTTGCAAACAACATAATAATTTGGACAAATTGCTGCTGTGGAATCATAATGTTAAGAAAGTAACCACAAAATTTGCAAGTGATGATTTCAATAATGAACAAATGTAAAACTCAGTGTGTAAAACAAAACAGGTTACATACACACTAAGAAGATACACATACACAAGGAAGGCACAGCTGAAGTGTATATGCATTTGTCCTGCATTGATATACTGTATAATGCTTTGAACTAAACAAAAAGGAAAAATCCTCTACTGTTTTGAATTTTATATGAATGCCTGTTTTTTGTTGTTGATTAAAAATGACAGTCTTTACCCTCTACATTTTTTGAAAGAAGCCATCAATTTTACATCTTAAATTTTAATGCCAACAAGGGATTTTGTCACCCTCTATTGGTTCAGGAGCTATGCAGCAGCTTGAAGCAGTAATTCCTAGACCTTATCAAGTCTTTATCATAACTATTGAACTCAAGTATTTAAATGACATTGATATATAAAATTTCCTGAGCAAATCTTTAAGAACTGCACTGCACTTTTCACAACTGCTGCTTTTTATGACATGTATTTATGTAAGTTTTCATAAAACATACTGTTTACAGTGATGTCTTTGTGCATTTTCAATATGTGGATTAAAAAAACTGACTAGAAATTTGCCCACTAAAATCATAGGAATGTCAATAAAATCAAAACTTAACTCAATAACCACAGAGAGTATTAAAACCTTTCAGGAATTTTATATAGAAGCTTAAAAGAGTGTTACAGTATATGTAGTGCTTAATCCACTTAATATAAAAATCTTGACTAATACACAATGCTGACTCAAAATTTCTTTAGTCTGAACTAAATCAGTTTATCTCAGTGATTTGCGCAAATCAGAGAACACCCAGACTGACGGGTTTGATGGTCTTGTAATTATACAAAAATCCTGTGTTAAAGTACAAAACAGTAGTTCAACAAAGAAATGAGAAATGCCTACAGGTTTAGAATGACTTTATTTATAAGTTAGTAGAAATCACAAATTAACTTCATAGGCAATGGAAGAAATCAGGGTCCGTAACTATAGTGAAATCCCATCTTAACATGCAAATATTCACATTCACACTGCAGTTTGTCAGGAAAAACAACAGGAGGTGGCTGCCGGTATCTCTCTCTCTCTGTGTGTGTGTGTGTGTGTGTGTGTGTGTGAGTGAGTGAGTGAGAGAGAGAGAGAGAGAGAGAGTGTGTGTGTGCGTGTGTGTGTAATTTGCAGGCCTAATTTACAATGGGCCACTAAGAGACCCAGAATGAATATTGGCGGGGCTTTCAATCCACTTAGGAGACAAACGGAAAAAGCCAGAGAGAGAGAAATGCTACTACAGCAGCCATATAATGTGAACATGAAAATCAGATAGTGTTTCTCTGAGCAGTTAAAATGAATATTACATTTATTTTTAATGAGAAAATCAATAGTGTTTGCAAACAACATAATAATTTGGACAAATTGCTGCTGTGGAATCATAATGTTAAGAAAGTAACCACAAAATTTGCAAGTGATGATTTCAATAATGAACAAATGTAAAACTCAGTGTGTAAAACAAAACAGGTTACATACACACTAAGAAGATACACATACACAAGGAAGGCACAGCTGAAGTGTATATGCATTTGTCCTGCATTGATATACTGTATAATGCTTTGAACTAAACAAAAAGGAAAAATCCTCTACTGTTTTGAATTTTATATGAATGCCTGTTTTTTGTTGTTGATTAAAAATGACAGTCTTTACCCTCTACATTTTTTGAAAGAAGCCATCAATTTTACATCTTAAATTTTAATGCCAACAAGGGATTTTGTCACCCTCTATTGGTTCAGGAGCTATGCAGCAGCTTGAAGCAGTAATTCCTAGACCTTATCAAGTCTTTATCATAACTATTGAACTCAAGTATTTAAATGACATTGATATATAAAATTTCCTGAGCAAATCTTTAAGAACTGCACTGCACTTTTCACAACTGCTGCTTTTTATGACATGTATTTATGTAAGTTTTCATAAAACATACTGTTTACAGTGATGTCTTTGTGCATTTTCAATATGTGGATTAAAAAAACTGACTAGAAATTTGAAAACAACAACAACAACAAACAAACAAACAAACTTTAAATGTTGTAAAAAAAAAGTTTTTACATTTTTTTTTACAGCAGGAAAAGTTACTGTACTGGTAAAAACAAAAAGTCACAAGCTGCAGATGTAGTGATTAAATCACGATTTATCAGAAGCATCTGACATAAATCATCCACTCAATGAAAAATAGTGTTTGAGAAATTTTTTACCTCCCTCTAATGAATCAATGAAACAAACAAATGCCAGATTTCTATGTCATTTTCTACACTGCTTTTCCAACTTTTTGCTTTAAGGACCCAATTCGTAATATTTGCATAACAGTAAAGGACAAGCACACACAGTAATTCACCCTTTCTTGCTGATTTTCAAGAAATCAATATAAAATGTAAATGATACATGGATGGAAATCTGGATACAGTGAACTTAGCAGCTCTGTCATTAATATTTTCTGTTCACTGTAGTTTTTTTTTATGCTCGATTGTTTTCATCCATGTCATTAATAGTTTTATTGTTATCTGGTTTTCCACATAAATAAGCACTAAGTGATGCTGTAATGTGCTACTTAAGTGCTACTCTACTTCTTATTGTACACCTATGTATATTATTACTATATTTAATCTAATCAAAACATTACCCACAGCACCAAGCTCCCACAAATGTCATCTTGATCATTACACTACCATAAATTCTTTCTATGACTGCAAATTGGTGAGACTGCACCTGGTCAACATCTTTGTACTTAAGCAATGACACAGGTATCAGACGATTTCTTTGGTTTGGGGCTTGGGGGGGAAGGTCTGTTGGGTTGGTACTGGAAAGTACCTGTGCTGGGGTGGTAAGACAACGAGGTCGGTTGGTATGAGAATGAGCTGTGTTGCTGAGCTGATGTGGTGGACTGGTGAGAGGGTGTGGTGGATTGATATGAGGTTGTACTGGGCTGATAAACTGATAACCTAGGTTGGTGTGAGACTGTGCTCTGCTGATAAACTGATGCTCTGGACTGGGGAGTTGGTGCTGGTGCTGGTTTTGGTGCTGGTGCTGGTTTTGGTGCTGGTGCTGGTGCTGGTATTGGTATTGGTGCCGGTCCTGACCCAGTGCTGTAAAAACTAACAAGTGGGTGTGTGGTCTTGTACTGCAGCAGGTAGTCAGGATAAATCTGGTTCTTCTCAAACACAACAAAGATGGAAGGGTTTTGAACATTGTCTACACAGCTGTCAAAGAAGTTTACGTCACCACCATCCTTGGAAGGAGGTCGGCAGTAGTCAGAGGACCCTTTGGTGAAGTGTCCTACCAGCACCCGTGAGATGAACATGGATTTGACATCAGTGTCACTGGTGTAGCTGTGGGAATATTTAGCATCACGGGCAAAGTAACTCCCTATGTTTGGACACAAAGAGATTTCAAATGTTTTGATTATTGTGAGAAAAAAATCTTTATAATGTACAGTATGTGGAAAGATGCTTAGGAATCCAACTGATAAATATTTTCATTACTGATTAATATAGAAATAGTTTTCTTGAAAAAGCTTTGTTTCTTCTCTAAATTGTCAAGAAATGGTGTAAAATCTATTTTTACAAGCATCATTTCCCAGCATGTAGGATGGCTAAACATAAAACAGTTGCCAATTTATTTTATGCTTATTTATCAATTAATCACCTAACTATTTCAGCTCTAAACGACAACACCACAAAGCAAATCAAGATCAATTATCTGGGAAAAGCAGTCACCAAGGTCAGTGAACCAAATCCCTTTGAACTGTCCATTTAATTTTGTGTGCATTGACTTTGATAAGTTGAGTTTGTTAATGTTTTAGGACTGGTTTTACCCTATCCCCTCAGAGTACATCTTTTTAAATTAAAACATCTTTTGTTATCAGAGTAGTAAGTGGCCAAGCCTCCTACCTTTGCCATAAGCAGTTCCATGAGTTCCACAGATTCTCCAGTCAAAGTTTGTAGAGCAAATGGCGTCAACATATTTAGTGTCAGTGCCATGAAAAAGCTTTTTTTCCATTGGATAGCGTCCACCATTGTCATCCTTCATATGATTCTTCTTCCTTTATTTAGGAATTAAAAATGATAAAATTTAAATCAAAATAACGAACAATTTCTCTTTAGGAAAGCATTCTAACATAAAGGGAGGCTGTAGCTTTTGCTGTACAACAGTCACTGTGGACATAAACTAGAATTACAGCAAACTGTTAAATGCACATGTAGTAGGCTACTGACTGACAGTGTACACAGTTAGTTTCCTATTAGTTAACATTATCCCTCATAAGGTACTTGCTGTAGTGCGGTGCATTTCTCTGCTTGTTCAACTTTTAATTTGTAAGAGAAAGAACATGCTATTTTTTTCTATGAAAGGTTTGCATAGTTTTAATTTAACAACAAAACAGTGGCGTTTACTGGATCAAATACCACGATGACCTAGCTAAGAAGGCAGTATTTAAACACACAACATATCAGACAGACAGTTTGAATGATAAGTTTCCAGACCAAACATGAGGGCAACATACGTACAACTGAAAGGCTTCCCAAAGCGCTTTGTTCTGAATCCTCTGGATTGTGATAACATCAAAGCCTAACATGGTTTTACAGAAGAGAGCTTCAATCTCCTTAAATTCATCTGAAGAGCGCTGGAGGGAGACTCGCTAGAAAACAAATCACAGACAAAAGAACACTTTCAGGAACTAGTACCTGTGTGATTTTTTGGTAACTTGGGGACAGCTGAAATGCTCCATTGTGTTCACCAGCTAGCTGCTATTTGTGTCTGTCTGCTGTTTGGTACTCAGGAGAGAGTTTAGAGCTTTCTGCCTTGTCTGAAAACGACTATAAGAGCAGTCAGATTGAACCAAAACAGTAAAGTTATGGTCCCAAAAACTAAACAATAACCTGAAACTCACAAAAACACAGTATGGAGAATGAAAAGACAGAGTTTATTAGTTATGTTAATGATACAGATCATTTACTGTAACTATTGGGGCAGAGATGCATCAAAGAACTAGCAGCAAAGACTCTTGCGTCCCCTTACATCATCTGCAAAGGCTATAGCCAGCTAGCACATATGTTTTGTGTCTGCATGAGAGAAATAACTTTCCATTTGCCATTCAGAATGAGAAAGAAGAAAACCTGGGACTGCTGATATACAAACTGTAAACAAAGTAGCTCTAGCTCACCACGATGGTTTATAGCTATCTTTAATTGAGAATATGTCTGATAAGAAGCTGCAAATGGCACTGTCATTCTCTGGCACAGATTTGCTAAGCTGAACAGCCAATCAGACTGGTCTCCCTCACTGATGGGGTCCATCACTGATTTAACATGCTGAATTGGATGAAAAGCCACCAATAGGGTCCAACTAGTGCCAATGATGTGGGGCACACTGCAAGGACGAGAGCGATAGATGCTCACCCACAGTCCAAACTGGTTGACAACCGACCGTTGTTTGGTGGTTCATGGGCCTTAAACATGTTGTGGCAGGGCAGACTTGTTGCTTAAAGAGAACACTCCCGGCAAAAAAAAAAGTAATTACACTGACAATGACCTGTCAATCAACAGTAACTCAGGTACAACTCAGGAGGTTAGGCTCCACAAAGAATACATTAAGTAAGCGATAACTTTGAAGGGGGGTAATTCTGGTAAATGGTAACAACAGAGACAGCAGAATATAGACATGAAGTGGAATGAAATTTATTGGATATTTCAAACTTTTTTAACAAATAAAAAACTGAATAATTGGGCGTGCAAAATTATTCAGCCCCTTTACTTTCAGTGCAGCAAACTCTCTCCAGAAGTTCAGTGAGGATCTCTGAATGATCCAATGTTGACCTAAATGACTAATGATGATAAATAGAATCCACCTGTGTGTAATCAAGTCTCCGTATAAATGCACCTGCACTGTGATAGTCTCAGAGGTCTGTTTAAAGCGCAGAGAGCATCATGAAGAACAAGGAACACACCAGGCAGGTCCGAGATACTGTTGTGGAGAAGTTTAAAGCCGGATTTGGATACAAAAAGATTTCCCAAGCTTTAAACATCCCAAGGAGCACTGTGCAAGCGATAATATTGAAATGGAAGGAGTATCAGACCACTGCAAATCTACCAAGACCTGGCCGTCCCTCTAAACTTTCAGCTCATACAAGGAGAAGACTGATCAGAGATGCAGCCAAGAGGCCCATGATCACTCTGGATGAACTGCAGAGATCTACAGCTGAGGTGGGAGACTCTGTCCATAGGACAACAATCAGTCGTATACTGCACAAATCTGGCCTTTATGGAAGAGTGGCAAGAAGAAAGCCATTTCTTAAAGATATCCATAAAAAGTGTCGTTTAAAGTTTGCCACAAGCCACCTGGGAGACGCACCAAACATGTGGAAGAAGGTGCTCTGGTCAGATGAAACCAAAATCGAACTTTTTGGCAACAATGCAAAACGTTATGTTTGGCGTAAAAGCAACACAGCTCATCACCCTGAACACACCATCCCCATTGTCAAACATGGTGGTGGCAGCATCATGTTTTGGGCCTGCTTTTCTTCAGCAGGGACCGGGAAGATGGTTAAAATTGATGGGAAGATGGATGGAGCCAAATACAGGACCATTCTGGAAGGAAACCTGATGGAGTCTGCAAAAGACCTGAGACTGGGACGGAGATTTGTCTTCCAACAAGACAATGATCCAAAACATAAAGCAAAATCTACAATGGAATGGTTCACAACTAAACATATCCAGGTGTTAGAATGGCCAAGTCAAAGTCCAGACCTGAATCCAATCGAGAATCTGTGGAAAGAACTGACAACTGCTGTTCACAAACGCTCTCCATCCAACCTCACTGAGCTCGAGCTGTTTTGCAAGGAGGCATGGGCAAAAATTTCAGTCTCTCGATGTGCAAAACTGATAGAGACATACCCCAAGTGACTTACAGCTGTAATCGCAGCAAAAGGTGGCGCTACAACGTATTAACTTAAGGGGGTTGAATAATTTTGCACGCCCAATTTTTCAGTTTTTTTATTTGTTAAAAAAGTTTGACATATCCAATAAATTTCGTTCCACTTCATGATTGTGTCCCACTTGTTGTTGATTCTTCACAAAAAATTACAGTTTTATATCTTTATGTTTGAAGCCTGAAATGTGGCAAAAGGTCGCAAAGTTCAAGGGGGCCGAATACTTTCGCAAGGCACTGTATTTGCCAAGGAAGCTGGTAGTTGCTGTTACATAAATAATGTTATAGATATGTCAGAATTTCCAATAAATAATTTAACCCCTTGCCCAATCAAACAAAGCACAAAACAAAAAAAAAATGCCTAAGCCGTCTGAAAACCCAGGGAAGACCCTGACCATGAAAATAATGTTATAAATGTGACTCCTTTTAGCTGTCCCACTACTTGGTACATTTAACTATTCATTCTTCTTCCTTTTCTAAGACATTTAATAGTCCTTTAATACTCCATATATACACATAACTAAGCCAGGGAATGAAGGTTTGCTAAAATAGTGGAGAGTGGGTTAAATATTTGCATTGCATCAATTTTATTCTTTATTCCAAATAAATCAGAATCAGAATCAGAATCAGCTTTATTGGCCAGGTGTGTTGGACACACGAGGAATTTGACTCTGGTACATCGGCTCTCAATGTGTATGTACATATCCCCATGCAAGGGGCAAGTAAACAGTAAACATAAGGCTGTGTAATATAGCAAAATAAGCAGTATTTACCTGCAACAAACAGTGCAAACAATGCAAAATAAGCAGTATAAACAGGCAGTAAACAATGCAGACAGACAAGGAATGCTCATTGTGATTTTGAGTACTTAAAAAATAGAATTGTATGAATAGTCTGTATAATGTACATTTACGGGTATTTCGCTGAGGGTTACTGTCCAGTTATACTATCGTGGGTCAAGTGTTCATCAGAGTGACAGCCTGGGGGAAGAAAGGTGTGGTGTATTCACAGTACCCTGTATCCTGTTGGAGGGATCTGTGTCTTGTCCCAGTGGTTTGGTGTGGCAAAATGTGTTTGACCCTGAGGCTTTCTGTACAAACAAAGTAAACTAGGGTTAGTGTTATTGTTAACTCATTTGAATGAAATTCCTCAAATTAAAAAAGTATCAACACAGTATATTTGGGATGTCGTACCTCACTCTTCTTGCTAGAACATCCGCTGCAGAAACAAAATAGGGCCGTCTTCTTACAAGCCTCTTTGTTCCATAGTTCTTATTTGTTTGTATCATGTCTGAGATTAAAAAAGACAACATTATAATATAACCATAACATTTAAAAACTGGAAATACAAAGAGCATTTGAATAATTTTTGTTTACCCTGGAAACTGAGTGAGTATGACTGTGAACCAGCTGTGAACTCTACCACATCCTTGTTATTTTCCAGAAACTTCTGCTCTAGTTTAGTGCTGTCAAGGTCTGCTGTTCGGTGTCCATCACTCTGGAAATCAAGAAAACTAAGTCAAGATTTAAATCCAAAACAACTGGATTTACATCTCTGCTGCAGAAAATTAGTCTCCACAGAGATGCTTCCACACATCCTGGGCACATACAGTAGCTCTTTCTGTTTTGTCAGAATGGAGAGCTACAAAACATAGGATTCAAAATTTAAAGGGCCCATGGCATGCGTTTCCTTGTTTTCTGACTTATCTACAGTGTTACAACGGTGAATTATCATCTTAGACATGACCTAAAGATCAAAAAATGAGGTGTACTTATGTTCTAGTATTTCTATGCAAAAGTAACTTGGTTTATACACCTCTTGCAAACTCTCGCTCACAAGACTTTTTTTTTCGACCAAAATAAAGTATTACATGATAGTTTAAGGATCTCCTTAAATGGGCATAAAATCCAGGCCGTTGCACAGTCATGTGAGCTTGCCTGACATCCACCGGTGCCCCCACCATATTGGCAAAATGTTATAACGCCTTTTGTGTTATGTATGTTTTTATTAAAGCTTATTAAAAAATAAAACAAAACAAACATCCACAGTGCCATTGCAAAAGAGGAATTTTTCGACTGTGTCCGGTTTTGTGGTTATATTTCACCTCCTGCTGCCTGCACTGTGACCAGAGGATGTAGAGAAAAATCCAGGGCCTGAGGTTACTGCATGTCCAGGAATGTTCCTGTACAGGGACCTGCTATTTTACCTGACTGTGTCTAACCTACAAGCAGCCGGTCACTGAAGGCTCTCTGGTTTTATCATTCTGAAATAATTACTTACTAATTGGAGTTACAATGGGTGCAAAGCTAATCTAGAGGTACCCAAGATTAACCATTAAATGGCTGGAAATGAGCATGCCATGGCCACTTTAAGTAACAGAATACAACAGGGAACGAGCTTTCCAAGCAAATATAAGGGGTCCAAGAACCCCGGTGACATTTGGACCCAGTTCACCAGTGACCCAAGGCAATTGTGACGCCAAGCACAATGACCAACAGGGCTTAACAGAAGGGCTGTGACTAATGACTATTTTTTATAATGTTTAATCTAATCACAATTTTACCAATTATTAATTTTCTTCCAAGAAATTAATTTGACCATTTTAAGTAATTTTATTTTGACAATAAATCATGTCAGTGAATAATGCAGCACCAAACGAAATCTAAACAAAGGTTTACTTAATAAAGTGCAAAACTGCAGACATTGGTCTCTAGTTAGCTGAAAGGCCAACTCAAATATTTGTGTTGATGTGGCAGGGACAGACAAATAAGATTTTGCCAGAACTGCCAGAGGGAAACCTTGCATTATTTACCTTCCACCGCTGCAAAGGATCTGTACTTTTAGGCAGAGACTGTTCTCCAGAATACTACAGAATCTCTTCTCTCGGTTGATGACATCAGATTCATCCCCACTTACATTTGGGCTAGATGTTTCGACTGAGTCTGACCCAAGCAATGCATCCAGCAAAGACACAAACCTCTTCTCTGTAATACCTGCTGATGTTTTGGCCTTTGTGGCATGCTGCTGTTGCTGATTTTCTTTCACTCTCTTTTTTGCTTCTACTACAAGGGCTTGCACTTTTACCTGCAGTTTCAGGCTTTCATCTGGCGACAGGAGTTTAAGTCTGCAAAACCTAGGGCCCAGGGCAGCTACAATTATACTGATATTTGAATCTGCATCTTTATAGGCCATCTCAACTTCCCACCTTGATGAGATTTCCTGTGTTGCAGCAGCCTGAAACATGTGCACATGGGTGTTATCAATGGCTGCATTCTGTGTAGACTTCATCAGTCCTTTAATGAGTGCAGGTAGAGAGGAGAGGGTCACATATGACTCCCCGCTAAGATAAACAGTGGCACATCCAAATGGCTTGAGAGCTTGTTGTAGTTCCTCTAGTAGGCTCCATTGTTCAGGTCTGAGGGTCAAGGAAATGCTTGGCTTTTTGTGTAACCTCTGGGTCTGACAGAGTTGCTGTAACTGACCACCTCTGCTCCAGCAGGTGGCTGATCAAGCTCCATCTTACACTAACATCCTGAATCAGTTTGTGTTCAGGGAGGCCCATTTGTTTCTTTTTTGTGTTTTTGGTTTAAGGTTTGAACCAGGAAATTCACTCTTTCTAAAATGTTCAACACCTTACAGCACCAAGTGCTTTGGTAATTTGTGGATTCTTCAGTGCGTGATTTACCACCACCTGTAATGTGTGGCCTGCACAGTGAACTGAAGATATCTCATGCCTCTCTTCCAACAACTTGAGGGTTGCTACTACATTAGCAGCATTCTCATGCACCACAGCCTTGATTTTACTTGCAGGGATTCAAAACTTCTCAATTGCAGTTTCAATCCAGGATACAATATTCACTGCAGTGTGTTGCTCTTCAAGTGGCATAGTAGTCAAATTATATCTTAGGAGCTCCCAGTTGTTGTTAATAAAATGGGAGGTTATGGCCAAGTATGTGTCTGTGGCAATACCTGTCCATGCATCTGTTGTTAAACAGAGCATGGAGCTGGATGAGGAGAGGGTAAGTTTGACTTTCTGGAATTCATCCTCATATTTCTTTTCTACGATGTCGGTGAAGCATGTACTTTTAGGGAGAATGTAGCCTGGTTGGAATGTTTTAACCATAGCATGGAAACCCTCATCTTCTACCACTGACAGGGGTCTCATCTCTTCGATGATCATGTTGAGGACACCAACAGTAAGAGCTGCTGCAAAATGTGATGAGCAATCCTCCTTTTGTAGGAATTCATTCATGTGGCTTTGCCTTTGACTGAGAGCGAGACAGAGGAGAAAAACAATACACCATAATGTAATAATGAAGACAGGAATATTCCCTATGTTCCTTTAACTTAGATACTTGTATATTATTATTCAAATGCTCCCTATTGTTTTTCTGCCATTACTTACAATAATTACATTGCTTAAATTAATAATGCATAAAAATGAAATAAGTGGATTTATTCCGTGGGAAATTCTAAGGTTACAGGCAGATGACTTTGGTTTTGATAACAAGTTTAGCAGCTACAGATGCAGCTATCTTTAATTGTCAACTGGACCCTGGTGGAATCACACCCAATCCATGACAGGTCCACGCACAACCCCTGCTCTTACCATGTATACCCCACAATGGCACAGTGAGTGCTGGGCCACCTTGTTAATCCCCTTAAGCACTGTGTGTCCAAGCCGCCTGCCAGGTGAAGCAGTGTTTGTTGTAGTTTACTATGGAAGCTGACTGATAATTTGATCCTTCTGTTAATATAAAGAACTGCTGCATCACTTTCCAGACTTGGATATTTTTCTGCATGCAAACAGCTGAGCTGTTGCACACTGATTCACACTTCACATAGTGAAACCAATAGGAACAAAACAGTTCTGGTCAAGATGGACACATCACTGCTACTGGGAATTAATGAATTTAAGGATGAACATTTGAGCACAGGCATCATGTTGGTTTAATTTTAATATGTGATGCATTAAAAAATACAGAGTATTGGAGTTGTTCATTTCACCCAATGTTTATGTGATATAACTTCAAAGAAGGCTTGAAACAAGTTTATGTACAATAGCCTACAGTATATGATGCAAGAGAAAAGATTCTTTGCTATAATTTAGCTACAGTGAATTCCCCTATTGTGGAATATACTGAGATGTTAAGCCACTACATTAAACCCACATCCAGTAGGCTACCATTCTGAAATCCCCAGGATGTGTCCTAGTGAAACCAAAGGAGAAAATGCAGATATAAGCTTTCACTTAACATGACTGTCTTTATGTTAATATAAGAGGTGTAGTGCTATCTGATGAAGTATCGAGCGCACCCATGATGTGCATGCGTACACACAGACGATTACGTTCCAGCCTGTTTCAAGGGCCACGTAAACACTTTTCCAGCTATGTGGCAACTAATTGCCCACACGATCAAATGTTAGACTGAGTTTATTCTCTGGTGTAGCAGAGTAACAATTTGAATAAGTATCTACTTGTCACGGGGTGAATGTTATAACCATAACTAGGGGGGTATTTGCCACGTGGGGCAGGTTCCACCCAAAATATGAAAACCGGACATTTGGAAACCATCTCTGTCATCATACAGTGGGGGCAAATAAGTATTTGATACACTGCTGATTTTTCAAGTTTTCCCACTTACAGAGAATGGACAATTCTGTAATTTTCATTGTAGGTACACCTCAACGGTGAGAGACAGAATCTACAAAAAAAAATTCCAGTAAATCACATTGTTAGATTTTTAAATAATTTATTTCCATTCATTTTATTGCATGAAATAAGTATTTGATCACCTACCAACCAGCAAGAATTCTGGCTCTCACAGACCTGTTAGTTTGTCTTTAAGAAGCCCTCCTACCCTCCACTCATTGCCTGTATTAATTGCACCTGTTTGAACTCGTTACCTGTATAAAAGACACCTGTCCACACACTCAATCCATCAGACTCCAACTTCTCCACTATGGGCAAGACCAAAGAGCTGTGTAAGGACACTAGGGACGAAACGCTTTATCATTTGATCCAACTATAAAATGAAGTAGAGTTGTAGAGGGAAGCTGCATATACTGGAAACACTGCTACAAGTGCTTCAAGATCTCGCCTCGTGGAGTATCAATTATCCTGAGGGATCAGCCTAGAACTACACGGGAGGACCTGGTCAATGACTTGAAGAGGGCTGGGACTGCAGTCTCAAAGGTTACCATTAGTAACACACTACACCATCATGGCTTAAAATCCCGCAGCGCACGCAAAGTCCCTCTGCTCAAGCCAGCACATGTCCAGACCCGTCTGAAGTTTACCAAAGACCATCTGGATGATCCAGAGGAGGTATGGGAGAAGGTCATGTGGTCAGATGAGACCAAAATAGAACTTTTTGGTATAAACTCCACTCGCCGTGTTTGGAAGAAGAAGAAGAAGGATGAATACAATCCCAAAAACACCATCCCAACTGTGAAGCATGGGGGGCTTTTGGGGGGCTTTTCTGCAAAGGGGACAG